AGAATAGCACTTGTAGCGAGCTTAATAATGTATGTTGGCTGTTTCAAAGGGATTTTTGCAGAAAACTGTGCTGTTTGTCTATTCAGGCTCCGATACAACAAATGGCAGATCGAATTGCCGGCTACTTTGTTCCCTGTGTAATAGGAATTGCATTACTTACCTTATTTGTTTGGATTGCCATAGGGTACATGTCTGAGAAATACTTAGATATGGTAAGTTATCCCTTTGACAATCTCTCTCCACAGTTTTAACGCTTTTCCATTTCAGACTCCCACAAATCGGTTTGAAAACATAATGAAAGTTGCGTTCGAGGCAGCAATCACCGTTTTAGCTATAGCATGCCCATGTAGTCTTGGCTTAGCCACACCAACGGCTGTAATGGTTGGAACAGGAGTGGGAGCAAGTAATGGAATTCTCATCAAAGGAGGAGAGCCGTTAGAATCCATGCATAAGGTATATAGTTTCTTACGAAGAAATGTTAAGTGTCGAGGAGAAGTCATGTTCAGGTGACAACTGTGATTTTCGACAAAACTGGCACGATTACGGAAGGCCGTCCTCGAGTGGTGTCAATTCTCACTTTGCGATCGCCCTTAGATCTGCCTCTTGAAAACTTGGCTCTGATATGTGGATCAGCTGAATCACATTCAGAACATCCGATTGGAGCGGCTATCACAAATTTCGTTAAGCAGGTATGTTCATCAATTTTTATTAATCATGAGATTGTCGCAAAAACCATTATTCTGAAAAGTTTGATTTACTCTTTTACAAAAACAATGATGCCAGTGTCATTTTTAAAGTGGTTCATGATTGGAACTATTTTTTTCCAGTTCTGTTTGCATTTACTTAGGCTCAAAAAAGCCATTCCGATGAGATTCGCTTTGTAGTTTTGTCAGCGTCTTCTTTTGCTCTGGATATTATCGTTTTGGTCGAAATTTGTTAAACTCGTTCACATTAGCTGTTTTGAAGAAAAGATTTTTTCGCTGTCAAAGGCGGTTACTTACAGTGGATGGGTGAGCCGACATGGGCGGCAGTCTCTCGTTTCCA